AGTTTTCCAGTCACATGAGAAAACTCTACCCATTACTTTAGGTCTTATCTCACTTTTCACTGAAAACCTTATCACTCAGCTTTCTTCTTCACACCTAAGTTACAGAATCCAACTCCAGTGACTTACAGTTTCCAAAAATCAAATCCACATAGGACAGGGTTTCTCATCACTGAAGATATGCAGAAAAATATATGCCAATTCTCAGTATAACTCATGAGAAGCATTCAAATATATTTTATACAATGGTATATTGCTGGAAAAAATACCTATTTGGATATATAAGTCCCATGTGCCTGTTAAATTTATGAGCACAGCATGTACGCTTCCATCTGTAATCTTCAAAAAAGATACTCATGGGAAGACAGGCAATCTGAAAGGGTGGGAATTAGACACTGATGATACAAAACTTTGTGAATATACTAAAACCACTGAATTGTACACTTTAAAGGGTGGATTTTATTTTATATCTCAATGCAAGTTTTATTTTTAAAAGAGAGGGTACTGTAAATTAAGAAAGTGAGTTGGAAGATGGGTTGAGATGAAACATTCTGGGGATAACATGCAACTCTAGGGTATTCTAAGAAGGTGTTATTGAGAAACAGCATCAGGGATATTTTGGAGTATGCTTAAATAGGATTATGAACTATAAGAGCAAGATCTGAGACAAGCATGGAAGGACAAATGTGAGGCCAAAAAAAATAAGTGAGGAGAAAACCCAGGTTGAGGAGACAAACAGACTAGAGCTAGGTACCTGTTAGTCACAGAGAACTAATACAGGAGACCTCTAACTAGGTAGCCCTACTCTGCCATCAGGGATACCCTAGACTCATGACTGAAGAAATGTAGAATAAGACATGCAAGGGGTTAGTAATTCAAACCTCCTGCTTCACTAAAGTGTATTTGGAATTTTCAGAAAATTTTACTTCCTACCAATTTCATGGAAAAATAATTTTTAAACATTTCATTTGAAAATTGCCAGTGAAGTTATAGCCTTATATACCCTTTTTCATTTTTCTTTCTCTTACCTGGGTTTATCTTACTAACATTTCTCCCTTGTCCTCAGTTCCTACCCTTCCTTGCCTAGACTACCTCTGCCTCTTCCCTCAGCCTAGAGTTTTGGAAAGGTTCCTGCTGCCTCCTGGATTCAACCATTCAACTCCCTCATAAATATTTCTTGAATGAATACTTGGTGACAGAAACCACGATAGATTCCTGGATCCCTGCCTTCAATGGTCCCTGCCTTCAGTGAGCTTACAGCCTAGTTGTGAAACCCAATAGCCTTTTCTATCTCCCTCTCTTTCTTCCCCATATCTTTCTCTTGCCAGTCCCTCTCCACTGTCACTCCTTAAAGTCACTCCACACTACAGCCTGGTAAATGGAATCATTTAAGGTAATGCGGTGTGAACCATGTAACCAAAGAGGATGTTCTACTGCTAGGATGAATGTCAAACAATGATTGGAACTGAAGGCTTGAGTCACAGCACTTGAATCAAATCGTCTATGTTTTAGCTCTATAACTTTCAGGTAAGGGAGATTATCTTAACCCAACTAAGCCTGTTTTCTCATTTATAAAACAGTGTAAGAGTAGTACCTACTTCATAAGATTGTCTTAGAGGTAATTGAATTAATATATATGTAAAGTACTTGGCAGATACTCAGCATATTAAATTCTTCATAAATTTTGTCTATTAGATTGTATAAGTATAAAGACTGTTAGTTTGGTTACTATGTTTCTTTATTCCATTAGACTCCAAGCAAAAGCTACCAAGAAACCTTACAAAGTTAAACATGACTTTGAGATGTTCCTACATAAACCGGTATGTTTCCTTTCTGAAAATAATTGAGAATCCTCCCTCTAGCTTCTCTTAAATGGACTAGAGAATATTTCATGAGCAATTTTTGGTGTCATATCCAAGGTATTGTGTCAGAACAGAATACAGTCTTGTTATTTCATCAAATACACACACATTTAAGATAATCTCCATTTTACATATCTCGTGACTTTCCCCATTCCTTGTTTTTGACCAGGGACAGTTTATGCAACTGAAAACTTCCAACTGCAGTTAGAATTATAAACTTATAGAAAATTATCAATGTTTTAAGTTGTATTTTATTTTTCATTAATAAATGAACAAAAAGATATTGGGAACCAACAGCAGTGAGATAATGATAAGGTTCAAAACAGGACTCAAGGTGATAAAGAAAAAAGAAAGAAGACCATTATATCTTTCAGATTTTCCTTGTCCCCTCCTCTTCTGCTTGTCCATATCTACACTGTTATGTCTGAAGGAACTCTTTCTTTCCAACAGAAAAGAACTTGTAGAGACTGGTGTACAATAAATCTGAAAGTTGGATTATCTGAGGTCAATGACAGAAGAGAGCCTTTTCAGCATTTCAGACTTCTATTCAAAATTTTAGAGCAATTCCATTGGCTACTACTAGAATGTCAAAAATGAGTCAAGTCAAATTCCTAGATGGGCCAGAAAAGCGCTAGATAGTAGTGAAACACCTGAGTGTTGTTTATTAAACAAATAGACTATTCTTTACTTCCACAAAAACATTTCTCCATTTCTCTTGGCCTATCTTTCCTGCAATTGATAGGGACATGGGCATGGAGAAATTCAATTTAGTGTAAGAAATGAATGATTGCAAGTGTGCTGATAAAGGGCAAGTGGTCTCAGCTGGCAAGTGGTAAGTGGTTCCTATACGGAGTTGTGGAGACTGTAGTACCCTGGAAAGCAGTGCCACAACTAACAGGGCACTACTCTCTGAGATCCAGCTCACTGTTGATCTGCAGGAGTGTAGACCCAAGTGTTAACAGATATTCCACAAGTCAGTAATACGGATTGTTCTTTAAAATCTCTTATTTTGACCCCACGTTTTCTTAAATATTCTGTGGGCCAAACTCAATATGTCTGTAGGCTGGATGTGGCTCATGGGCTGCCAGTTTGCAACCCCTGGTCTAAATGCTGCCTGAATTTGGAGATCTTCAAAAGCTAGCTGCAGCTAGTGTAGCCAGTCTTCTTCACTACATACCAAAGCATACCCTTCACTCCCCTGAGCCTTCTACATACACTCTGTTTGCCTACACCCAGAGTCTTTGCTCATCTGCAGCACATACATCTCAGCTCTCAAATTCTACTCATCCTGTAGGGCCATGCTCAAAGTCCATTTTCTTCTGCTTGAAGCTTTTTTCCAATGGCCTCAGCCCTATCCTCTCCAGACAATTTTAGTATCTCTCATAATTTCTACAACACCACTTAGTGATGGCAGAATTGAAACACAGTTCTTTTTTTTCAAGCCAGAAATCAAAACAATATAGAATAGATCCCTGGCATAGAATGACCATGTGTGTCCCCCCAAGAAGCCTGCACACTGGAAATTTTTACTCACTGGTGCAAAAAAGGAATCACATGGTGAAAAATGTAAATAGAATAACAAAGCAGTAACAAAGTGTCACTTTTTAAAATGATGACCCACATAACTTTAAAGAATTATATATGAACCCCAAATTCTTGTGGAAAATGGCAAGGTATTAAAGAACAAATGATTATAATTCAAATAAATTCATGTCTTGGATTATTAGGTTTAAAGAACTCAAAAGTAGCTGGGCACAGTGGCTCATGCCTGTAATCCTAGCACTTTGAGAGGCCAAGGCGAGAGGATTGCCTGAGCCCAGGGGCTCGAGACCAGCCTGGGCAACTTGGCGAGACCTCATCTCGATAATAAATCAAAAAATTAGCCAGGTGTGGTGGCACGAGCCTGTGGTTCAGCTACTTGAAGACCGAAGCAGAAGGATCACCTGAGTTGCAGCTGAGGCTGCAGTGGCCGTGAGCATGCCACTGCACTCTAGCCCAGGCGACAGTGAGACTCCAACTAAATAAATAAATAAATAGCTCTAACATATTTTTTTAAAATTGACTTAACCTTCCTTAAGTGTTTACCTCTCGGTTAAGAATGAAAATAAACCAGAAGTTTATTTTAAACTAGAATAGTGGCTTTCCTAATATTTTATGTATGGCTATTATCCTTTGAGAAATATTACAAGCAGCTTTGCCTAGGCCTCTCTAAAACTGAGATTCTGGATAATGATACCCAATCTTTGAGCTGCACACTAATGTGTGCACTGATGCACTAATACAATTATAGAATACTAGAAAATTTTCTGGATAATTCATGCTGTATAACCACTACTGTCTCAATTTTCTAAGGATTTCAGCAAAATGCTTTTTGGCCCAAATCACCATATAATTCAGGAAGGGCTTCCTATAGTCTGCCCATGAGAGAAAACCATTGATTTGCCATTATCTCGTGGCAAAATTTCTGCCCACTCTTGAAAAATATGTATAGGCACCCACCAATACCACTACCAATCCCATAGTTCACTTTAAGTCTTTTGATACTCACTCTCACCCACATACCTGCACACCTGCCCTCGACTGGTCCACATACACAAACAAGCCTTTCTAGACACACAGAAAAGGGATGGAAGACACGAGGATTTCCTATATAGTAAGCATGCCTTTTGGATTGGAGAAGCATTTCAGAAAAAGTAGTGGAATGGGAAAAAAGTAAATTCCATGAACAAATCAAATTACCTGAATTATCATCTAAATAATTCTCTATTTCAATGTGAATAGAGGAAGAGACTTAAAATGTCTTTTTTCATTTTCTATTATGTGATGGAGATAGCTCAGGGTCAAAATAATTGAAAGTAGTGCTTATATGATATCACATGGGTTTAAAAATTAAGTGAAGCTGTAATTTTCCTCCTAAATTCCTCTTTTGTCAAAAAAAAATATGATCTTTAATCTTGATAATTGGGGGAATCTCAAATATACAATGTCCAAGAAAATCCGTGGATCTTTAATCATATGTTATTTTCATAGCATGTTGAAGCCCAACTTGAGAGAGAATTTCTGGCATCACTATCATCATCATCATCAGTGGAAGACTACAGCGTTGAGGAAGAAGAACATTAAGAGAAACCAGACATGAACTCTATTCAATTGTATCAGTTTAATTGTAGCAGTATGTTTAATACAAATCCAATCTATGAAGTCAGTGTTAACAGTGTGTTTTATCATTCATTCATCTTTTCAATCTTCAAATCAATAAATCTCAGTAAATCATTCTTAAAAGATCTGTACAAGCAAAAGCTTTGCTCTTAATAGTGAAAACATATTTTAAGATGGAAAAATAATCATTATGAAGCATAGAGAGCTTTCAACCATTTCTTTGGAAATACATCTTGATAATAGCAATAGTTCATCATAATGCAAAACAGAAAGAGGATTAATTTACTGTGGCATAGGAAGTCCTGCCAGTTCCTAAATACCCTGAATAGTTTGGCTGAGTTTTTTCACATTGTTTAGGCCTCAAGGAAAACCAAAGCCCCGCCTCCAGGTTTGGTAGCAAACAAACTCTGCTTCTCCAGCACTGAGCTTCGATCACTCTTCTGGTAATAGGCTTCATGCACATTTGCTAGGAAGTTGGACAGCTCATCAGCAGGTACTATTGATACTGTGCAGCCTCCCCATCCTGCTCCAGTAAGCCGTGACCCTTGAGCCCCAAACTTCCTAAAACAACAAGGAAAAAAGAATTAAAACCTATAATGAAAATAAGATTTGCTTGGTGTTAATAGAACATAGCCTACTCAAGTTCTAAGAAGAGAATATGTGAAGGGTTTTTGGGTGTCATGAAACATTTCAGGACATTAAGAAATTTATACTGTTTCAGAAGGTGATTTAGAATTTTTTAATTGCATCTAAACTATTCCCTGATTTTGGCTGCAAACAGTAAAAGTCAGCAGTACTCTCATTTCATGAGAATTAGCAATAGCCCACTGTAGTCTTGATTCCCTAAAGTAGCCACTTGAAGAGTTGCGTAGCAAGCTACCGGTAAATAAGGAAGAGGGAGTAAAAACAAACAGGGCCCCACATGTTTACAATGAAATAAAGAAAAAAATAAAATAATAAAAATAAAACAGGAGATGTTAAAAAGAAATTCGGGTAAACCTGAATCCAAAGGTTGTCCCAACTAAGAGCAAATCAAAATTTAAAGTGCAGTCTTCTACAACTGGGGGTTTCCTCCAGCAGCTATCTTAGTTGCATTCTTAAGGAATGGCCATTTCATATAGGAGAGTCAGTCCCCTAGAACAGGGAGCTTAGATTCCAGCTGAATAAATTTATCAACAAAGAACTTGTTATGAACCTCTGGGTTTGTTGGTTGATCTAATCTCGAATGGAAAATTAAGCCTTTCCATAAAGAGGATGGCAATCCCTATAGGACTATACCTCCTTCCCTGTTCCTCTGAAGCTTCTGACTTATGGACTCAGAATATGCCATCAGACAAGATGTGTCTAATTGGGATGAAAACAACTATATAAATGATCACACAGTAAGAGGTAATTTTAGTCAACACCAGCCAGTCACAGTTTCAAACCTAATATTTGAAACAAAGTGAAAAGCCCTACACAAAGTGCACTGATGACTCAAAAGGTGCAATTTATCCTGACAACAAAAGTGAACATTTACTCCAAATAAGTAGCAGATAAATACTCCATAATTAATTTAGGATAATTATGTCTTTTTCCCCATCTAAATGAGATACTTTACTTCCTGGAAAAGATAAATAGAATATTATCCCTACTCTAAGACATCAGAATTATTACACACCAGTTGTTCATTTTCATCTTCTATTTCTCAATGATTTTTTCAGTTGATTTCTTTTTATTCATTAAAATATGCTTTGCAAATGAAAATGAATGTTTAAGGAAGAAAAAAACTGTTTACAGAGATTACTGAGCTCTTCCTGTCTGTCAGACATTTAGTTTATGGCTCAACAGCTGATCTGAGTCCATGCTCCTATCATTCAGACTAAAAACTTTCTCAGCCCCTAGGATTCTGGATTATCCTGAATTTCTAGACTAACAAAGGGCTCATTTTTAGTTTATTGATTTTAAAAATGGTTGTCATATGCGGTCACATCAAACTATCTCTCACTGTGGAAGTGCTAGGAAAAAATGAGGTATCACTGAATCATCTCTAGAAGATCCTAAACTCGGGGCAACAAAGTCAACTGTGGTATGATCTAGAGAACAACATGCTCTCTTGATTTTCTAAGGTCCAGAATATACCATTTTGCGGGACTCAAGTCACCAAGTCTTTAATGGTCTTCAGTGGACTTTTAGGCATATGTTATTACACATTCTAATTTGATCAGTTTTTGAAAGCTGTGGTTTCAAAATGGAACCTAAAGCAAACAGTGTATTATTTCTAATCTGGCTGTAAAACCATAGGAATTGTGCCAGAGGTCTATTTTCCTGAGACTCCTGCCAGTTTCCAGAGAACAGAAGCTAGAAATCTTTCTAAAGACATTCACTCCTGATTCTCCAGAGCGGCTTTGTCACCACCCTGCCTACTACAGATGAAAATGGCCTGAATTGTATCAACAACATGATCTGAAATCATCAGGGCTCAAATTTCCCAAATAGAGAATGATAAGTGCTATTACAAATAGCCTTCTGCCCCTGAGTCAGTGACACTTGTGATCATAAATCAGGGGCTGCCCCAGCAGCTGGTCAGCAGCTTGCCCAGCTACCCAAACTTACAAAGGCAGGTAGGTCCTGTCTGCCGTGTTCCCCACTGGTGCTATTTAATAAGCCCTCTGGCATATGCCACAGAAATTCCAAGAGGTTCAAAAGTTAGGAGACTGATAGAAACATTAAGAAAGAAAAGTAGGTGAACCAAGCATGTTTAGTGAACTTTTCATGTTTATATTTTTTCTGGGAGAGCAGTAAAACACTAAAAAATGTATCTCCTAGCTATTGCATATCAGACAATACAAGAGTTACAAAAACCAAAACCCTAAAATCGCTCAAATCCCACTTTGGTGATTATGCTGACTGAATTGGGAATATTATAAGAGTTTGTAAGCAAAAAAAGTAGCCTCTGCCTCATAAAGCATGATCTACAGAACAAAGGCTAAGGCAGATGAAGGATGGAGATTATAAGGAATGTTCCCTTTGATCCTTTTATCACTGAAAAGTATCAGTTATCTGTCCAGGCACCCAATATAACCTAACTAAAATTCCCTACTTTTGAATGAACTGATTTGGCCCTAAGCATTTACTACGTTCCAAGGCATGAGCAGTAGAGAGTGGGGAGATCCAGAAAGACTCAACTGCACTAGAGATTAGAAAGACAGAAGGTAAGAAATTGTCTTGTATTTCAATCCCATTTTATTTATTTCAAAGTAAATATATATTTATATGAGGGGGACCCACAACAACAGAATTAATTTTTCAAGGGCAGGCCCCTTGTAGTATAGGCTTCCTCTGCTAGGTAAGTGTTCTAGGAACCCATCAGTATCAGTCTACCAGCTGGCGTTGTGGTGGAAGGTTGTGTTCGGCTTCAGTAAATTTTTGGAGAAACTTCCAACACATTTGCCCATTTCATGATGGGTGATTTACATGAACAACCTGCCCAGACTGCAATGAGTGTTTAGCAGATTTTGGACCAAAAATGACTTGACCCCCATGCCCCACCCTCACTACTAACCTGCTCTCACCCCTAGTGACTTTCTTTTTTGTTTCCCTGAATGAAAAAAGTCCTCAAAGGGAAACATTTTGCCAATGTGAAAGAGATGAAACAAAAAATGGCAGAAGCACTAAAAGACATCACAATTGATGCATTCAGAAACATTTGAGCGGTGGAAAAATTGTCTCAATAGGTGAATTGCATCAAGTAAAGAGTACTTTGAAAGTGACTGAAGTTTAAATATGTAAGAATACACATTTTTATAAAAGAATTCTGGGTTTGGGGGGTCTTCCTCATACATTATAAAAATGGATAAACTATTCCAAGAAATCTTGAATTTAAAAGCAGGTCATATCCATCTTTCTCTGTCCTTAGCCCAGCACAATTCCAAGCATTTGATACAGTCTAATAAATGGCTTCTGTAGTATTATATTTGTTTTAAAAAGACAAAAATATATATAAATATAAGCAGTCAGTAGTATGTTATTTACACAAAAAGACTTCTAGCTTCTGCTCTCTGGAAAATTGCAAGAATCTCAGAAAAATAGACCTTCCAGCAGATTTTTATCAGTTAAGAGACAATACTTTCAGGCTGCTTTAGACTCAAAAACCACAGCCTTCAAATACTGTTCAAGTGAGAAAGGATAAGAAAATATGCCTACAAGCTTATTTTAGAAATGCAAGTCACTAAAGGCCAGTTGGTTTGGGTCCTGTAAATGGCATGTATGTGTGTATATATATATATATATACATACATATATCTCCATAAGTGGAAGACAGAGGCCCAAAGAGAAATGAGAGCGCTCTCTCCTTCTCTCTCAGTAGGACATGCAGATTAGCACTTGAAGTCATGGGGAAAGAGCATACAACCATGGATTTGCACTTCATTCTTTCCCATTCTAAATTGATTGGGAGAATAGGAGCCAGAGGCTGAGCAGCCCAGTCGCTGAATAAGTTGTAGAAAGACTTCTAAGGAAGACAAAACAAATTAATTTTGGTAACCTGAGTTGATCCATAAAAAGTTGTCATTTGTCTTCCTCAGTAGCTTGGGCAATACTGTAGCAATGAATCCTCACTAATTTCAACAAGTGTCAAATAGAAATAAAAGGCATTAACCATTTTGTCTTCAATAAAACCAGGGAACCAATGATGAATAAGCTGTCTAACATATAATTGACTTGGTTTTAAAAGTGTTTTGTATTCCCAATAAATTCTACTTTAAAATTTAGCCATTTCTTTACATTTGTATTTTGTTTCTTAAAAAAGGTATTTTATAATTCACCAAACATCTTTTACCTTAATTATTATACTTTGTTTCATATAATTGAAGTTCTAATATTAATTTAATTTTTTTTTTAAATAGCCTAACTACATAAGTATATCTTCTTTCTTCCTCCTTGGTCCTTTCTTTTATAACTAAAATGATTTTCTCTTGAAGAACATAAAAGGCTCAACTGAAAAAATAGTTAGCATTGGTGATCTCTTCTACTTTACACTCCTCACAACTTGTGTCATTAAGTTGCCCTTCACGTTGTCCTGAAGGCTACCTGGAGATACCTTTAAAATATGGTCTAGCATCACACAACCTCCCCAGGTTGAAACAAGAAGAAATCAAGACCCTAAGTAGACAAATAACAATCCAGGAAATTGACTCTGTCATAAGAAAACTGCCTATAAACAAAACAATAAAAAGCTCTAAACCAGATGGCTTTCCAGCAGAATTCTACAAAATGTATAAGGAGGAGTTGATACCAAACCTACTGAAAGTATTCCAGACAACTGAGAAAGATGGAACTCTCCCCAAATCATTTTATGAAGCTAACATCACACTGATATCCAAATCAGGTAAACATCCAACAAAGAAAGAGAACTACAGGCCAATATCATTGATGAACATAGATGCTAAAATTCTCAACAATACCCTAGTAAATGGGATCCAAACACATCTCAAAAACCATCCACTATGACCAAGTAGGCTTCATACTGGAATGCAGGGCTGGTTCAACATTCACAAGAACATAAATGTAATTAAATATAT